TTCGATAAACTTTAAAAGAAAAAAACCGATTTTTTTCAAAAGAAGCTTTCAATTTCTGCGCTACTATTTCCAAGCAATTTCGATTTTTGCGCTGCAACTCTTAAGGGACTTCTCTCTTGGAGCAAACAGTCATATTTGTATCTGTCATTAAAAATTGTGAAAATACATGCTTCAACTGTGCAAAGTATATTTTCAATTTATTTTCCAAGCGCTATTCCAAGCAATTACATTATTAAAATTTATTGTTTCCTGATGAATAAAAATGAAGTGTATTCGAATATATGGATACTTTCATTAATTTTTTTCGATTATTAGGTGTATTTATCGAATACTTCTTCAAAATCCTTTTACATTATGCATCATCATTTCTATCTTCTTCAAAACCTTTTTACATTATTATTTCTGATTTTTTTGATAGAAATTGCTTGGAATTCATAGCGCATAAATCAAAAATATACTTTGCACAATTAAAGGATATATTTTCACAATTCTTAATAACTTAGATACGAATATTACTCTCTAAATCTGAATCAGTGGATAATCACTGATATCAGTGTCAAGTATTCCACTGATAATCAGTGTATTAAATGTGAGATCCTTAGCCTAGCTAATTTTTATTATGTGATCTAACTAACTTTGTTTTAATGCTTAAATTTAATGAATATGGTATTGGAAAATTGAAATTAATGTGCAAATATCAGTATTTTAGTTATGTAATGCTCAAACATTCTTCCTTTTTTTTAGTTGAACTTCACTGATTATCAACACCAAGTATGCTGGATAATTAGTGACTATCTATTGATTCAGATTTAGAGAGTATTGTTTGCTCCAAGAGAAGTCCGAGGGGAAGTTACTTAAGCAACGCAAAACTCGAAGTTTGAAAATAAATGGAAGATATTTTTTACATAGTTAATGTAATTTTGCAATTTAAAACGACTTAGAATATGATTATTTGCTCCAAGAGGGAAGTCCCCCTTAAGGGATACAGCGCAAAAATTAAAATTATATGAATATGAAACCGGATAAATCCTGTATATTTGATTTTTCAAATCGATTGTTATTAACACGTAAGGGGGGGGAGAGTTGACAGTCTACTCAACCCTCCAAAAATTTTTTTTTAAATTTTTTAGCTAAACAAAATGTGCGCAAAAATTTTTTCTTGCGGATTTTGAAAACATATAAATAGCGGCATTATTATATAATTTATTCATTAAGATTTGATTAAGTGGAGAGGCAGATGTCTTAATGTGTGACTCAGCGCATATAAAAAACGGGGTGTACAGCCGGTCACAAAAAAGGTTGCAACACTTTTTTTTTATGGGTTTTGGAACTCAGTCTTGCTCGTAGAATGGTTGAACGTAAATGGTTAGATCTATAAATAAGAACCTAAGCAAGCTATTCCAAAATTCATCGAAATCCATTGAAAGTGTTGCAATCTTTTTGTAATCGAGTGTACATCAATTGCACACAAACCAATTGTGCACAAGTCAATCACAACGTTAGAAAAATAATTTTTTAAAAATACCCTACGCAGAAATCGCTGTGAAATGGCAGTGGGCAATTGCTACAGTGTGCAAGTGAACCACTTCCTAAATACGTATCTCCTATTTTTTTTTGTCTATATTTTAACATATCCAAAACTTATTGAAATCGGAAGAGGCAGTTGGTTATGTGTATGTGTATGTGTATGTGTGGTATTCCTCCTTATGAATTATATTAATTGTAAAAAACAAGATTTTTTTCATTAAAATAAGCAAAGATATTTTATACTGGATCATTTCAAATTTTTGACTGCAGATTTAAAATTAGAAGCCTAGAAGAAAACCTTTAAAAAATATCAGTTATGTAATACGTACATATAAGTTTAATTTGTTTAATTTGATATAACTATCATATTAAATCTGTTATTTTCACTTTTTAAAGTTCGACTTTAGATTTGGAATCAGTGAATTCAGAAATCTCAAAATGTACTAAGACTCGACAAGATATGTATAAAAAAAAATTTGTATTACAAAGAGATAAGCGTTATACATTACAGCCGAGAGCACTTCTTCGTCACTATAATTGTCGCTAAATCGATTAGACATAATTGCACTTTCTCGTATAATTTGAAATTGTTAGAAGCCACGTTATTTCGAAGTTAACCGATGTTGGCGAAAGCAACCATTCTAAACTAGTTGTGATGAATGTATTATGTCTCGTCGTATTCCCTTTGATGAACGGAAGGAAGGAACAAAGATGCAAAGTGCACATTACCCACCACACAAGTTATATGTATGCATATGGTTACCTATATGTAGTGCGATTACTATAAAAAATAGGATTTATTAAAAAATCTAATAATGTGACATTTAATTCTAATATGACATTTAAATAACATTTCTAATAACATGAAATTTAAAAACATATTCCAAATAACATAAAGTTTTTAGAATATGTTAAATTAAGTTTAATTTTTAAACTTTTCTTGATATTACATCAATAAAGCTATTAAAATTGTTTAAAAACTTTTTATTATTACGACAAACATGAAAAGATTATAAAAATGTTACATTTATAGTATCTGGGATTTGTTGACTCCGCCTTAATAACGACGAGTTAAATGGCCGCGATTGTTACTCTCGCGAATACATTAATCTTATGATGATAACGCCAGCCTGACATTATATTGTATTTATTCTAGACATTTATTCGTTCTTTCACACAATTATTGATGGACTTTGACTCATAATAGTGTATTAATGCGAGTTCTCGAAAAAATGTCTAAACGAGTATGTTATAAAAAATTATTTTTACTTTTTACTTTAAATTAAAAATTTATAATGCAAAATGCAAAAATTTATAATGCAAAAAAAAATTTTAATGTAATTTTTAAAAAACATTCATTTATAATAAATCTATTTTGTTTTATTCGCGCACTGTTAGAACTGATGCAGTAAGTTAAAATAAAAAATATATTTATGTTTATTTTATTTCAATTATACAGTCTATTCTACAATGTGTTTTTTTGTTTCTTGTTTCTTATTTTTTTTTTTACTATTTTTTACATCTTGTCTGTTTGCTTCTTACCTAGGTTTTTGTTTTCTGTCGCTGAGATAAAAGTTAACGAACTTCGGAAGAAACAAAAAATAGTAGCAAGAAATACAATTAAGTATTGTACAATTAAGTTGATTCTTGAACTTTTCTTGATATCATATCAATAAAACTATTAAAACCGTTTAAAAACTTTTTTTATTGTCGTGATAAACATGAAATTGTTATAAAACTACATACAGTTAAAACGGTCGCAAAAGGAGAAAAAAACAAGAGGTAAAAAGCAAGAAATAGGAAACAAAGAGTATATTGTAGAATAGGCTTACATCTCGATTTCACGGAAGAACGCATTCAGCAATAAAAAAAATGAGTTGACTTTTACTTGCTATATGTAATTAGCTGTGTAAGCAAGTGATAGATTCTGTCGAAGGTCTTTGGGATAAATGTTTCGAGTCGTTAATGAATCCACTGGTGCACTGAATTTGACGTTACACTTAAGAATACCTATTCATCAAGTCTCTTGATACTCTTCCGTCGTAAAGAGATCTGATTAGGATCACCGCAAAAAAAAAAAAAGAAAAGAATCAAGCGATCGAATGTGTATATCTCTACACCGTCTGTATACTAAACTTCCATTCGATTTCATGGAACTGGAAGGAAAGTTGACAAAAACTATGAACAACACCAAATAGAACAAATCGAGTCTCACGGAATAGGAAAACGTGGGCTGAATAAAATATACAGAGGAGTGAATCGACTCTCTGCTTTTTCCTAATTACTTCTCCTCGATGTCATACCGTACGCCCTTAAAACTCGGATCCGACCCCACCCAACGGGCAGACAGATAAGGCAGGCAGGCAAGCAAGGCAGGCAGACAGACAGGCAAGCAAAACGAAGAGAAATCAGAGCACACGTTGGTGACTCACCATTCGGTGCTTCCGCACGAAACGAATTCGCTCGCAACCCCGCTGTCGCACGCGAAGGCCGGTAAAAATAGTAGCGAAGGCCGCGGCGCCGACAGCAATTTTCACGCCGCGCGCGAAGCCAAGCACCCGTCTGCCCGCCCTGTTCGCCCTATGAAGGGCTCTCCACCTCCACCACGGTCACCATGGGAACTGACCCTTGGTGTAAGCCCTTCAAGGCTGCGCAAGCTCTCCCGCGGAGAGTTTACACACAGGGTTCCCAGGATTGCGTTCGTCCTGCAGGGAATCGTGACGGCGACTCATGCAGTCCGAATTGGGGTAAATCGAGTTGTCCACCGCCTTTTCTGTCACCACGCCAACTAATCAATTCTGTCTAGATCGTAGACAAAATACAAAGTGTTCTCTTACGATTAAGATATCCTGTGATACATCCCGAAATTGTGAAACTCTGTTTTTTGGAGATATTGACTTTGATTCACGATAAATCGATTTAATTTAATTGCTTAATTTAGGTCTTAATTTAACAGCATATATCAAGATACGAGATAATATTTGATCGTTGTTCAATTTCCATTGTAACTTTTTGAAGGTTACGGTAGACAATAGGAGATATACAAGAATGGAGTATACAAAAAAAGAAATAAGAAAACGAAACGTCGCGACGTTCCGAATTTAATTTATCGAGCAACTCGAGTTTACATCTCGACATAGACTCTTCATCCTCGTCACACCTTCGTACGCTCTTTATTGCCAAGGGGTGTTGAACCTTCGTCTACTACACAATTTCAACTCGGATAAAGAGAGATACCTATGACAAAGGATGAACTTTCGTTCTCTCTAGACAAAGATGTTTAAAAGCTGATATTGCGCTTCCGATCATCCAGGATTCGTTGTTTTTAAATGATTCAGCCTGCTGATACATTCAGAAGGACAGGGCAAAATATCATATTATCCGGAGATGGAATTCGCGACGTCGCGTCGTCAGTACGCCGCGTTCCGCCGATAAGCACGAACAGGAAGCTGAAACCGCCGACTTCTCTTTACCTCTTACTCTTTATATTTCTCTTTCTCTCTTTCTCTCGTCCGCTTCCGCTCCTTCACCGCGAAGTTCTGCTTCCCTCGATTGTTGGCTCCTGCCGTTCGTCGTTCACCGAGCGTATCGATGACACACGCGTCTCGGACTCTCGGTCTCGACTCTATTCGACTCGAGATTCGACTCGACCGCGCCTCGGTTTTTTTCGCGCGAGAAAGGAGACGAGATAAGACGACGATGACCAGACGGAATAGAGAGATAGATGTCACGAAGCGATTGAAAGGGAACTGACATTCACGAGAGATGCACGTAGCACCAAACGTATACGAATCGACACAATCGACGCTCGTCACGCTACTGAGCCAAGATGAGTCGAAGCCGAGCAAGCTGAGGCCCGCTGTGCCGCTAGCTAGTACTGCTAGTAGGCCCCAACGCGACGACGCGATGAAAGCATGCAAGGGTGGGGGGCTGCTTTGACTCCCGCGGTTTTCTAGTGATGGCGACGATCCCTCGCGTGGAGGACTTTGAAAGTTTAAACGCTGAGATCCAAGCAAACGAGAATGGATTAAAATGGATTGAAATTCTTTTCCGAATGTGTATTTTAAATAGCGAATACTTTTTTCGGATTCAATTGGATTGAAAAACTGCATTTCCTATTCAAAATTTTGAATTGAACAGTGTGTTGTGCACAGAAAAAGCTAATATTATTTTTAGATTGAAAGGCATAGAGATATACTCCATGTAATTCTTAGAAATGAATAAAAATTCAGGATTGAAAAGCATTCATTTTAATATTCGTGAATTAATATTTCTGAAAATCTAAATCCATTTCAATTCATTTCAATCTATTCTCATTTGCTGGGATGAGAACTTTTTTTTTTTTTTTTTTATTGAGAAAGAATCGCGATTGTCCGAACTTTTACTGGTGAACTTTAACTGAGTAAGAACTAATGGATTTTGCGCATTGCCAAATATGGGTTCTGTTTTGCATAACAATTTCTATATCGGGGTATAAACACTATACCGTCGCGTAAAATTGCACAGATAATCCTACAAAGCGTCGTAAATCTGAAATTCCTCCGATCTCTGAAAAGGATTAATAACGTGCGTCATTTGCAATAGAACGAATATGGTATCTACTAGCGAAGACTTGACGAGAATCCAGACATCCTTTAGTTTGGATCTATAATAGACTTTTAAGCCTTAAGCCGTAAGAAATGACTAACTACTCGAATATGAGGAGAATAATTGACTATTCGTTTATTCTTGACTTAAGGCTTAAAAATCTATCTAATCTGTAAACTCAGCAAATAAGAATGGATTGAAATGAATTGAAATGGATTCTTATTTGCTGAGTCTACAGATTAGATAGATTTTTAAGCCTTAAGCCAAGAATAAACGAATAGTCAATTATTCTTCTCATATTCGAGTAGTTAGTCGTTTCTTACGGCTTAAAAGTCTATTCAGATTTTCAAAAATATTGATTCACGAATGTTAAAATGAATTTTCAATACATTTTTATTCATTTATAGGAATTGCATGAAGCATATTTCTATGTCTTTCAATCTAAAAATAATATTAGCTTTTTCTATGCATTGTGGATACTGTTCAATTCAAAATTTTGAATAGGAAATACAGTTTTTCAATCCAATTGAATCTAATTGAATTCAATTAAATCCAAAAAAAAGTATTCGCTATTTAAAATACATATTCGGAAAAAAATTTCAATCCATTTTAATCCATTCTCGTTTGCTGGGGATTTAATAATTATTACTCTAATAATTATTCTACAATGCTTTTTGTTTTTTGTTTCTATAATAATTATTCTACAATGCTTTTTGTTTTTTGTTTCTTGCTATTTTCTTGTCTTTTTGCTTCTTATCCGATTTTTTGTTTTATATCGTCCGAGATAAAAGACGAATTTCGGAAGAAACAGGAAACTTGTAGCAAGAAATACAATTGTTGATAATTAATAAATCCGGATCTACAATAGGTGTTTTAAGTCTTAAGCCGTAAGAAATTGATCAATTACAGCCAAATGCGAGAAAAATAATTGTGATTCGTCCATTTCTTACAGCTTAAGACTTAAAAATCTATTGTAGATCCAGGCTAAAATGATTGTAAAGGGGGAAAAAGTAAGAAACAGGAAACAAAGAGCACATTGTAGAATAGACTTTATTTCCTCTTCTCTATGGACATAGGGTGTTTTCCAACAACATTCATCAATGATAACACTGTGTCTTACAAAGAGAGTTTTCCAGTAAGAGACAAATTGATGCAAGAATCATTTTATCCTTGTTCGATAATCAATAAAAAACAGAATGATTCTTGTGTTGATTTATGTCTCTGATGGAAAAAATTCACACATTGTTACACTGCTCGACACTGTAAAAAACTAAGTACGAACGTGTAAAATATGTCAATGTTACCAACTTTTCAAAAAGTTAATTGATAGCTGTACTTATTTTGTAATAAAATCATCAAAAATTGCCAATTCTGAAAAAATTATAACTTAAGTCTAAATAAAAATCATAAATCTATTATTGATACGCTAAATATAATTATAAGAATAAAAATGGAAGCTTACAATACATTCTGATGTTACACTATAAAACTAAACTGCGTTCCAGCAAGAATCTTATAGTAGTGAAGCACAGTGTATGTACACAAAATGTTCTATGTTTTAGCTGGAAAACAGTCATAGACTAGGTACGTTTACACGACTCGATTTACACCGAAGTTATAATATCCGATGTTATAATTAGGAATATATACTGGATATTCCTAATATCCTGTGCATTCCTAATTGTAATTTCCTGACATTAGATGCCATGTAAACTATGCTTTACGACGACGTTTTACATATATTGATGTAATAGTTTCGTCATACAATAGTGTTTCTACAGCATCTAACGTAGTTAGTAGTAATATCAGATGTTATAACTTTGGTAAATCGAGCCGTGTAAATGTATAATAATAGACAAATTCGCGCAATATTTGTTCGATGGATGCGAGCGGATCGAAACCGGTTTGGGCCCATCACTCGCAGCTGACTGCACTCCGGCACGGAGTGGAATGAAAGAGGACAGAGAGAGAGAGAGAGAGAGAGAGAGAGAGAGAGAGAGAGAGAGAGAGAGAGAGGGGGAGGAGAAGGAGAAGGTAGAAGAGAGAGGATAGCGCGTAAGGGGTGAATGCGCATCGAACTGTCGGTTGTTAGGTTAGGTTTCCATAAGGGCGGTGAACCTCGTCTGAAATCCTCGCGTTGTTGACCATTGCTGACCGGTCGACTCGGCCGGTCAACCGTCATCATGCGATAATGATAGCAATTCCACGCTATTTTCGAGCACGAGTCGCGCTCCGAAGACGAGATCGATACCCAGAACGTTACGTTAGAATTTTGAATCATTGTCTTATATTTTTTTTTTAAAGAATATGATACTCGATCGCGACATGACAATTATCAATAATTGTCGCTGAAAAGTCAAGTGTCTGTCACAAATGATAGATACAGTCTATGAATATAGTTAACGTGATACTAAAATAAAATGCTTTAATTGAAGCGTTAGTCAATTCGTAAAATGCTTTCTTCTGATTGGTTAATCAAATACTTCAAAACATTTTGATTGTTCATTTAAATACTTATTCGTCGTGAGATTTTAATCACCCAACGTATTAAATGCAAAGCTTTGAAATCTCGAATTCGATTCTTCTCTTCTCTTGTTTCTCCTTGATATGTCGAGATAGCCATATTTTGGCTTTCTTTTCATTTCCGATCATCTTTTGCCGCTGCAATAGTGAGGATTAGGCATCACAGAGAAATAACAAGATCGTAGAGAATCTTGCCGAGCTAAATTTCACTAGATGCTCAATTCATCTCATCGTAATCCGCGATTTTTTGCCAGATGGAATCCAACGATGAGTGCGATAGTAAATCTTTCGCGTCAATCGATTCGAGATTTTTGAAAAAAATAGATACCCGCAATAAAAAAAAAATATGTACGTAATAGTAACTATAAAGGTAACTGAAAAGTAACATTTGCCAACCCTGTATATAGCCATTAGTCAAGTCTGTGGAGACAGACTTTGAGCAGAGCATGCTATCTATTTCTGAACGAAAGACAACAAATTTCATAATGTATTTGTCATACTTGTCAATGTTGACAAACTGTCCAAAAATATGACAAAGCTTGTGTTAATATACGTCAACAATTTAGTGGCATAAAGAGTAGCGCTTTTGCTCGGTTCTGCTACCAATATGCTAACGTAGCATATCAGCAAACTATATCGACTTACGACAAATCTTAACTTAATATGGATATAGAAAATGCTATGGAATTTTTAGGAATCTAATCGAATTTGCTGTCTTATCTTAATCTAGCAACAAATTGCTAGCATTTTGCTATCTGGATAGTTAAATAAATTATTTTATTGTTATAATAACTATAAAGTAGTTTATTTAACAATAAAAATATTGATACTCTGTGTAAAACTTATGCAGTTATCACTTTTATAATTTTACTACCACTATAAAGTATAAGTCTTTTTCTCTAAGTGGATCTGTTCCAGATTCGGAACCGGGTTTCTTGAATATGCACAGATTTCCAACAGACAGAGATTGATGGACAAGTTCAATCAGACGGGTTCAATCTAACTCGATCTCTTTTAATGGATGCTTGTTTGCTTTCGAATGATAGTGCACAAAACATTGGCTGCATTCAGCAGAAAAAGCAGCTTTGCAACTGTTGTAAAATTCTTTAACATTGGTCTTGTCTTTAGTTCCTCACTGGATCTAAATATATAAACAAATCATATTCAAGAATTTTACAACAGTTGCAAAGCTGCTTTTTCTGATGAACATAGTCAATATTACACGTATCTGGTATATGACAACAACGGAGATTCTGACAAATCTGTGCTTTACCGTTTCCTGAACACATAGTATGAAATTTTTGAATAAAAACACGCAAGAATGCGTTTGCGCGATGCTTTTATTTCTTTTCTTTTACATTCTAAGCTCATTAATCTCGATACTACAAGTTCGATTTATTATAGGGTCTACATTTTCTGAATTTTGATAGTTTTCAGAAATTCTATTCCATATTTTCGGATGAAAGCATTGATTTTTTCACATTAATAATCATCATTAAATATTATCAAATCCCGCTAAATCCAACAAATCAAGCCATGATAAAATAACGAGTGAGTCATTTATTATGAGTTTTGAGCTGTTCAAGCTAAGCATCCAATTAAAAAGGTCTATCCTTAATTAGTCGGATAGTCGCGACTTAATTTGATTTGGCTCAGAGAATCGGGGGCTTTTTCGA